CCCCCCCCCACAACACAGAGAGAGAGAGAGAGAGAGGACGCACACCCCACACACATGGATGGCGGGTTTGTTTGTCGTCGTTCATGCCCATGAACGGTCGGTGCAGGCGAGGGATGTGTTTGCATCGAAGGGCCGCTGGGCAGCGGGGATTGGCAAGAAGGCATGCCCGCACGTGCACAAGGTGAGAGAGGGGGACAGGTGATCACTCACGCTGTCCATGAGTCATGCCATGCACTCGACTTGTGTCCCTTCCTCTTCACGTGACGTCAGCGCGTGTCGGTGCACTACAAGCTGTGCGTAGATTTGCTGGAGAAGATGGGCGGCGTTGGTGGCGGTCAGATAGCCACGGACGTGCGGCTGACCGTCAACGACATCCGACTCGCTCATCGTCGGCTAGACCTGATCGCAGAGACCATCACACACGAGGTGTGTACTTCTGAGGCCACCACACCACACCACACCACACAACAGGCAAATCGTCTCGTTTCCCTCTCTCTCTCTCCCTGCGGTTTCTGTCAGTCGTTGTCGCCGCATCCCCTGCTGGGCCTGCCGGACGTGGTCACCTCCGGCCACATCATGCCCCTCCTCGACACCATCGCACTCGTCGGATCCCTCAGCCGCACACACCCGGCCGTCAACGCATCCCCCGCCATCATGGCGCCCGACCAGCTGTGCATCACCAGCAAGCAGCCCTTCCACATGACCCATCAGCAGATGGAGGCCTGGCGGCCGCGGCTCCGCCAGGCCAAGCGGGCCGTGCTGCGCTGCCCTCTAACTACGTCGATGGCCAAACTGGTGGAGGGTGCGCGAGCGAGTCTGATGAGCCTGGAGGCGCACACGGCGGAGAGGGAGAGGCAGTGCGACCAAGACAGGGAGCTAGAGAGAGGAGTTCCTGACCTGACCTTGTGTGATCGGCCGTTCATCTTCCCATTGCTCGAGGGTGTGGTGGTGACGGGCGCGTGGGGTGACGTCGCAGACATGCGGTCGTGGCGGCCGAGGTGCGTTGAATGAGGGAAAAAGCACAAGCAAGAAGACATGACAACACCGTGTGTTCTGTTGCACTGTGTTGCATTTTCCATTGTTCAGCAATCTCCGGTCGCTCGAAATGCACCCTGCCCCCGCCCCCCGTGTGTTTGGCGAGCCGGAGCTGCCCGATCCCGCCCCTGAAGGTCCTGAAGCCTGGATGCAGTGGTGTGGGTCCAAGGCGGGCGTGCACACCGCGACACTCGATGGGTGGGACCTGGCGAATGCCGTCAAGGAGCTGGGACACTGCCTTGGCCACGTCAAGCGCATCCAGGGGGTGGTCATCGGCAGGCCGGGGTATGTCATCGACTACTCAAGTGCAGCGACCGCCGACGGACGTCGATGCGCTGCGAGCGACCATCAAGCCGCCGGGAGGACAACTCGATCTCCGAACTGTTGAGGTGAGACGAGAAGGGAAGAGGACATGCTTGTGCTCATCCCCACGACACACATGCATCTGTGGTGCCTGTTTCCTGTCATACCTGTCTGCAGGAGCTCGATGGCTTCCGCGAGAACTGTCTGGCCCCCCGCGCAGAGGAGGACTACAGCCAGAGCGACTTCACCTTCCCACTCAGCCTGCTGATCGCCATGACCGACGACGACCTGCGCACCTACAAGCCGACACTGATCCTCCTGGCCTCCCTCGCCACGCGAGTGACCTTCCCCACCGGCCTGTAGCCAGGCCAGCTGCTGCCCATGGGAATATACCAGCTGCTGCCGTCCCTCACCTTCTCTCGCGCACACACACTGGCACTCGACGAGGCATCTGACGCGCTCGAGCCTCTCCCGCAGGGCCTGTTGTCGTGGTTTGAGCGGTATTTTCCCGCCGTCTGCACGCTAGACTTGGCTGAGGGGAGGGGGGAGAGGGGGGAGGCAGTGGTACATGAAGCAGTCAGGAGCATCAAGCAGCTGCAGACCATCAGGTTCTGGCCTGACGAGTCGGCTGATGAGGATGTGGATGAGTTTGGCTACTCGCTGCCTCTCTGTCTGCGCAACTACTCTGGCAAGGGCCCCTTGTTCCACCTGCAGGGCCATTTCGCCGACAGAGAGAGGCCGTGGACACTCACTGTAGTCAGCAGGGGGCAGACAGGCGAGCAAGCACCGATAGAGGGCTCCATCAGCCAGCGAATACAGCGCATCACAGCACAGGTCACCACAGTGCAGGCCCTCGCTTCTCATGTCTTCTGCCCCACCTACTCACCGCACGAGCAAGGTTTTGTCGCGGCCCTGGCCGCCGCATGTCTGTCTCCGTGACGCAGCTGCCCAATGTGGATGTGATAGTGTTGGAGTGCACTGAGGGGCCGGTAGACAAGGAGGACTATGAGTGGCTCCGGTGGGATGCCGAGTGTGACTGGGATGAGGTGTCGCTGGCTTCATGGAGCGAGGAAGAGAGGCAGGTCAGAATAGATGACGCGTGTGCGGAGGAGCCGCCGGAGCCGCCGGCCGACCCGCCCACTGTGCTCGACGCACTGGAGCTGGCGAGGGTCCCTGTGAAGGAGGACGCTGTGTACTTCCGTACGGTGCTCTTCCGCTCTGCCATGGCTGCTCGTGGGTTTGAGTGTGTGGCGCTGCCTCAGCTAGCTGTCGATTGTCGCATAGAGGTCCGCCGGCGAGGCCTCTCAGTGCCTGCCGCCGGCCAGAGGAGAATCACTGACTACTTCACGCCTCTCGCGCGTTGATCATGATGTGTAGTGTGGGTGACCGATATTGATTGTGCACGTGTACAGTCTTTGCCTTCCGATGGATATCGATCATATATGTGTGTGTTTCGTGCATCGATCGTTTCGTTGCGTGCTGCATGAAATGACGCATGCAACGAACTGGTGTCTCATCCATGGTCTTTATTACGGAGAATCCACACGCATACGCAGCCCGCTCCCAGCGCACACTCCCACACAGACAGACTGTGGTGAAGACTAATTTGAAAAAGAAAGAACGAACGAACGCCGCCACCACCAACACACACACACACAAACACACAGAGTGTCACACACACAGCCGCTACCGCCGCGCAGACTGGACAAACGCAGTGGAGACATGATTGTTGATTCATCAAGAAAACAGCGCATCGATCACTGTGGATAAATCAAAGTGCTAGGAAGGATCGATCGGCAAGACACGTGCATCCCACACAACAGCAACAGGGGGTCTACCGTCCTGTGCCGATTCGACTACTCAAGAAGAAAGAAATGCGCACACTGACAGCACTACTTCTGCGCTTCTATTTTGCGATGGTCACAAGACTACGACATACAGACGTGCAGGCATACAGACATCCGGACTGACGCTACAGGCCGTCAGATCCATTCGATCGCCCCAAGTTTCCCTTCTTTAGCGCCCTCGTGAGGAATAGAAGCGGGGCACGGATGGTGCTCTACTGCAACAGGCGGGGCAAGGCTCACGTCGGTAAAAGTCGTCCCCCAACTCGCAGCCGAGTCGTCTTCCGTGAGCTTCGGCTGCTGTAGATGTGGTTGGAACCTTTCTGTCTCAGCTGTGTCTCCCACATTTTCCACGGAAATAAGTGCATGTGGCTGCGCCAATGGGCGAGGGCGTCTCAGTGGGCGCTTTGCAGGAAGGCTACAGGCGTCGGGCGGGTGCTCTGCGTTGTCGTTCATTGCTTGGATCGAGATGGACACTCGGACGCGGTCGGTCGGCTTGTACCATTGCGTCTCGTAGTTGGAAGACATGTACGGCAGTGATCGTAATATCTGCCTCTTACGCGCCGACATGCTGGAGACCTCCGATGCCTCCTCTTTGGCTGATTTCAGCATATTCTCGTCAGGCTGACCACCTTTGGTGCTGAAGGGAGGCCTGTATTCCGAGGCAGGCTGATCCTCGAGTATTATTGGATGGCCATGGCAGAGCAGCTTGACGGCCGTGAGGGCGATCTTGAGGCCCTCATCTTGCGCCCACTCGGCATCTGACGCAACACGCCGGCCGATGTTTGCGTCTCGAATGACGTGCAGCTGCACCGCCAGCTCCTGAGGCGAATGGGCACCTGCCCAAGTAAAGTCCAGATAACGTGGAAAGGCAGCAACAAAGCCGTCCAGCAGGCCGGTTTTCGTCACGCTTCCGATGAGACACGTGACGATAAGGAAATGAATGATAGGCTGCAGCACCAGGTGTCCGATCACGTCGATGAGGGCCGTCACGACGAAGTCTCGATAGACTGGCCGTGGAGAGCTGAACTCGTCGCTTGCCATAGCAGCGAGCGTTGGCGAAAAGACAAACACCACGATAAAGAAGATGCACCAGGTCCACCAGAGAAAGGCAAGCAAGAAGCCAAGCCGCTCCTTCCTGCGCCACTTCTCCAACCGATCCAGTTTCTGCAGAGACAAACAAGGAAGGGAGTCACATGGAGCGCTGAAATGTGTTGTCGTGCGCACCATCTCAAGCGGAAAGATCCCCGAATGTCGCCCTGTCGCGTCGATAGACGAGCGCTTCGACTTTATCATGCGATCTAGGGTCTTATTCCTGTGGAAGTCTGGAGAAGCTCGAAACGGCCACCGAAAAGAATCTGTGAAGCTGGCACGGCCCGATGCCGATGCCGATGCCTGGCTGTCGGTGATCGATGACCGAAAACCAATCCTATCGTCACGCCGCTTGACGATGGGAGCGATCACCGGCACTTCTTTCCGGAAGAGCAAATAGATACAGAATGGGACCTACGCGATGACAGGCAATGAAAAAGCCGCTTTGGACAGATTGCCTCTCGCACTTATACCGGCTTGCTGATAATCAACGCCGACACAAAAATATCGAGCTCTGCAGAACACGGCAAGTACAACACGATTCGTCTGTGTGTCAGTTAGTGCAGAGGCACCTGGGAGCACTTACGCCTCGCAGTGATTGCCCAGTCGCCCAGCTTGCCCCCACAATTGAGAAGGCAGTCGTCAGCATGCTTATTGGATACATCTTCGTAAGAGTAGAAAGCGGCTGATATCATTGACAAACCCACTAGCACCGCACCGCCGATGAGACATCTCTGCACAGCTGCATACATACACGAAGACACGTGTCAATCCGGGCAGACAAGTGACATGTACATGTATGCGCCATACCTGTCAGCACTGGGTTGGGAATGCACAAACTGAGACATGAGACAGGGAAGATGCAGGGTCCTTCGCTCAGACCTGTCGCTACCTGAGGATGGGATGATGCCGTCTCAACACCGTCAAGAAAATCCTTTTCCGGCTCCATTCTATGTATTCGTGTCGCCTAATTGCCCTCTCCACTATCGCGTCGACCTCTTTTTGCACCTAAATGAAACAACCACTCACCATGGGATCATGTCTCCCCCGCTGGGCCGTCTCACCTCCGTCATGCATGCCTCCACAGTGGACTCCCTTCGTCTTGTGTATGTGCCTGCTCCGACTGGCATCTCTCTCCCTTGCGTCTTGGCCGGATCGTCCTCCGAATGCAACATGTCAGCGCAGAAACTCACAGTCCTCCTCGTCTTAACCTTCCTTGTGTTGAGATCTGCTGTGTGTGCCCTTTCCAGGTCGTTGTTGAGGACTTGTGGGCTCCCGTGGTCCTGAGTTTCAGACTTCTGCCTGAGGAAGTGAAGTTCTTGTGCTGTTGCGGGCTCTGCGGCGGCATCTGCCTCCTCTAGGGTTTCCCGTTCCTCACGGTGCACGGGGGCTTGCGACTGGGGAGACTGCGGCGACTTCAGAACGGAGATGACGGAGCTGCCAGAGAGTATAGCAGTTGACTGGAAAGTCGGAGAGCCAGCCTTGGCGTTGTCAGATGACTTGCCGTTCGCGAACGAGGATGAAACACGAAACGGCAGACGGCCGGCGAGGGTCTTCCTCCACCATCGCTGCACCGTCACCGCCGCTTCTTGCTGCCGCCGCACTTGAACGAGGAGGCAGCTTCGCATTGCGTTTGAGAGAATTCCTGAGCTGCCAGGAGAACAAGACATAAGAATTAGGTTGCAGATCCTTTGCGAGACGTACCTGATGAGCTCCTTTGCGAGACGTACCTGATGAGCTCGACCGTCCATCCTGCCCCCAATGGTCGGAAGAGGTTCGGTAGTCTGTTTATGCTCCACCTGTTCTTCCTCCTACTGCTGCCAGCGACGGAGTTTATGGAAAGGTTAGATCCTCTCGTGAAGGATCCTCGTTCGCTCTTATGGCCTTCCACTACGGAGTCAGAACTGCCTCTGGCTGTCCTCTTTGCCGGCTCTTCCCTGGCATTGTCACTCCGTAGAAATCCTCTGTGTATTCTGGTTTTGTTGTACAACGTTCGACGACAATGTTCTTGTGGGAGGGTGGACGTTGTGAGAGGAAGCCATTTCTAGGACATTGCGTGTCGACGAGTTGACGCCGCCTTGCAGAGACCGAGAGCGCTTTCAATGGCTGTACGCTGGCGAAGCGGCAAGGGCCTCAAAGACGGCCGCTTCAGGACTGCCGCGAATGACGTGCAAGTCGTCCCCTTTCCTTAAGCTTAAAATGACCTGCTCTCGTATACGCCTGCAGACACGTGAACAGAGACACATCACTCATCTGGCGTGGTTGCCCTCAGTCCGTCACTGACCTGATTGCTTTTAGCTCCGTCACATGAATGGTGGGTTGCCGACCAGACAGGCGATTGCACAGCCGTTGGAGCTCCCGGCAGGGTTGGCCGCCGCAGCACCGATGGAACCAACCAAGCCATCGCTTCCGCTGCTGCAGCATCCACTTGTATGACTGGTATCGACTGTCTAACAAGGGGTCGGTCATCCAGGTGTCGAACAGATCCGTTTCTGACACCCTACGAGGGGATAAATGGGCACACACTGCACTCGTGGCCGGTCACATGCTGTTCACTCTGTGCCTACTTGTATCTGCGGTCCCACCAGGCTGCAAGGATGAGGAGAACCAAGACAAACCCGATTTCTGCGGCAACGAAGCGGGCGGCCACGTTATTCCCCCATGCTGTCGTATTCGTCAGCCGCTGGAGTGACTGCTGCGATTCTGCGATGACCGACGAGAAACTGCTGTCGCGGATCGCTTTGCCCAATCTGCTGTTTGCAAGGGCTGAACCGACATCATTCAAAGCTGCTTCAACTTGCACTCCCGACCTAAAGAGACAAAGACACGAGTCCGTCTATCGCATTGTGGCATCAATAGCATACAGTCGATGGCTTGCCTGAATATCACCCCAAACTCCGAAAGGTGGAAGCAGTGGCACACGATCGTCTCATCGGTCGTGAGCGTTGTGTTGTGATAACAGCCTAACAGGGCGAGAGAGAGAGAGAGAGAGAGAACTCCAGAAGCTGAAAGGCTGATGTGAAAATTGCCACTTACGTACCTTCTGTGCTCCACTGCTGCGTCATATAGTCAAAGTATCCACACGTCAGCTGTCTCCTCACAATGAAGTGACGACCGTGCCTCACTGCTTCTGTCCTGTTCATCGCCTTCAGCTTGCCGTCGATCTGGACAATCCCGTATTCATCACCGAAGAGGCCGTGAGGATCGTCGCTGTCGGTCTCGGGCACGGGAATGTGCAGAATGATGGGGGCATCCGTCCTGTTGAGCTGCAAAGGCACATCCTGACCGCAGTGACGCACCTGAAGGGTGACACAGGCGCGTATGCATTTTTGATGATGCTTTGTTTGTGTCCTTACTGAAGCAGTAAGAGTGCCGCCCTTGCCCTCCCATGTGGTCTCCATTTCCCTCTCTGGCATATCCAGCATGCTCTTAACAGTTGCCTCCACGTCCGCTGTATCGTTCCGCCTGGCGTCCGAGTACAGCCCTTCTTACCACCAAATCAGCTGCGCCGTCGGCACAGAGACCGCACTCGAATTACAATCTGGAGCTCCGCCGGGTCAGAGGTGCCTGCGGAGTTCTCGAGGTCCTTGTGAGCTTGGATTGTCGATCGTCATGTTGGTATAGCCACTGAAACGTTTTTGTTGGCGATTTCGAGGGCAATGGTTGATGAGCTGTTCACAACTCGCAGTGCAATGTCCACCGTGCTGCAGCCAATACCAGTCGTGACTGAATTGAGGATAATGAGACCATCCAGCTGTCATACCCTTCCGATAGCTGCAGAGGGGCTTCTCCGTCCCCCAAGAAGTGCAGATACGAGTCGGTGAGGTGACTTGTTGAGGCAATAATGTCAGCAGTCAGCCGGACGGTCTCGTTTCGAGAGACGCTTGCTGACAGCCCGCCGACCTGCCTTACGAGGGATGAGGCAGCGGTCAACGATCTTCGTGCAGCCTGCCGCATTTTTGTGATATCTTCTTCCTGGGACTTCCATGTCTCCATCGTGGAGCGAGTTATGTTGGCTAGCAAATCGAAGACTTCTGCGCCTTGCCGCCCCGCAGGCAGATCAAAGACCTCTACGCGCTCAAAGATATCCACTGCCTCCTTTACTGCCTCGGTTGACAGGGGCACTTCTGATGAGTTTACGGAAATATTGGCAAGTCGCTCGATGCGTATCCGATGCGTCTGACCAAGGAACAATGTTATCTTCCACAATGCTTTTCCAACTGGCCTATATCTTCGGCTGCGGACATACCTCAATCAGGGAGCAGAGTATGTCTTGTGCAAGGACGGAAAGAGGGTAACCATTGTCATCCCTCCCTATCGAGCATGCGAGCAGCGGACGGGCTTCGGGAATCTCCACCGGCTTGTGTTTAACTGTTCCTGCCTGCGTGAGACAAAGGAGGCCATCTTACTGGTTAACATGAGACTTCTGGCCTGTCACCTGCTGACCAGTGTGACTGCAGCTTTGAGCTTTTGTGTGTGAATGTTAAAGGCATCACTGACTTCCTCGCTGGTGGGCGAATCGGTCACATTGGCATCCGCAGCAAGAAACTCGACACTTTGCTCAATCTCATTACTGTCGATCCCGACTGGGTTGAACGAGGCATCGATGTCATCGGTCACCTGCAGCAGTCACACAAGAGAAATAAATATGCGGCTTGAGCAATGAATTCATTGCCGTGTCTCTTTACTTCCTCAATATCAAGCGTGAAGACATTGGCTGTTGCTGTCTTAGGCAACGGGATGCTCTGAGTGGTCGTGCTCAGATCGGGAAAGGGGCTAGTGGAATCAGAGGTTGGGTCGATGGGAGGGATGGCGCTTGTGGTATCTGCTGAGATGGCCGGGGTAGATGTCGGTGCAGCTGTTCTTGTCGATCAGCTGTCTGACGATGTCCAACTGGTATCTGGTGGCATCGATATCGTGGTGGTGCTAATCGATGTGCTGGGCAAGGGTGTGGTCGTGACTGGAGGAGTGGTGCTGGGATCACTCGTCGTCGTTGTTGTATTTGTGCTGGTGGTGCTGCTCTTGGTGGTTGGCGATGTACTTGTCGTGCTGCAAAAGGGGGACATTTCATGCCTGTGTCTCCCACCCACACAAGCCCTCTCGCATCTGACCTAGTTGTGGTTGTTGGGCTGGGAGTGGTTGACGGAATGACAGTCGTCACCTGACCGAGAGCACACACACAAAGGTGGCCGGTGGCTGACACCGCATTTGCGCATATGTACCACAGGTGCGGGTGTGGTGGAGACACTCAATGGCAGAGAGGGGCCGGCTGCACAAGAAAGCGGGCATCTCACCAAGACACAGACAGGCAGTGGTATGCTGGCTCTCTCACCATAATGCAGGGCTATGACCGCCGATCGGTTCTCTGCAGCCAGCTGGTTATCGGCGAAGTCAACAATGGCATGCGATTTGTTGAATTGGAACAGGAACACACTCCCGTTCTCCAATGCTGCCTCTGTGACGTTCACATCCACCCGTAAAGCCTTCAGGGCCACCAGGGCCCTGGGCGAGCTGACGTCGGTCACACTGTAGTCGAACGCCGTGCTGTTGGCCGCCGTCATGTTGACCAGGCGCCTTAGGTCGGCCACGGATCGGCGGACCAGCTCGTCGAAAATGATGTCGACGCTGAAAGAGGTCGTGTTGAACGAGGTGGCGTTTTGGGCAATCCACGCATGAGGTTCGTCCACATCTGAGGAGTGGGTGCCAAAGAGGAACCGTAGGTGTCTCTCATCAAATGCAAAAGAAGCAATACACAATGCAGTCAGTCCACGCCAGTGTGTCTCCCCACCGTGGACTGGGCCGCATGAAAGGAGTTCAGAGACCGCAGCGTCAGCAGACTCCTTGCTGATGGTCCCCGAGTGCAGGTAGCAGCCGTTCGAGGAAGAGCCACCGGAGTCACTCCTGACTGTGTAGTGAGTGCAGCCGCTGAAACCACGCACATACACGCACAGATGCACCCTGTTGTTTGGCGACTCTGTGGACCGGATGCCTTGTGTGGTGGCACTTGAGTGCGCAGTCAAAAGGCTTGAGCACCTTGGGGTAATGATCCAGCTGAGTGGCCGTGGACCACTCCTGTCTGTCGATGCGACACCCCCTGTGAATGACCAGCGGCATCGACGGCAGGCTCCCCTGTCCATCGCTTTGCCCATCAGCCAGCCCCTCAAGAGCCATAAGCGTAAATAACCCTTTCGCAGGGGTCGGATCGATGGTGACCGTGGCTGTCATGTCACTCTCAGGCCAGTCTGCCACCGAGACGTCAGCACTTGTGGTGCCGAGCACCACAAGCCGCTCCGGTCTGAACGTGCCTTGGTCAACTGGTACGGAGAACTTGACAGTGATGCTGAAGGATCCAGTCGAGGCGAAATCATTCACGTTAGGCACCGTCAAAGCGACAGCTGGAGCAGGGGCTGACAGGAAAGAGACAGACACAAGAATGTCTTCGCCAAATGGAAGGCAATTTATGTCTCTCGGGTTACTGCACTCGCCGGCCGGGGACGGCTCGACCTCGCAAATGTAAGGCTCCGAAGAGAAACAATCTTCAGAGAGCAGAGCCGCCATGTGTCCGTGGTCGTGCTCATGTGCGTCCCAGTAGATCGCTGCGCAGGCGTAATTGCTGTCGCCGTGGGGATGGTACGGCTCCCATTCGGCCTCGTGGATGTTAGCCTGGTGGTACTCTGAGCTGGGCGTCCAGCTGCCTGGCGTCAGGATGCCCTCACGGTCTGCACGAGGGAGGGCACACAAAGGAGACACCCGTGGTCCGGTTTCTGTTTCAGTGTCCGGCCTTGCCATCTTGCTGCACCTCTCTCGGCGCCCCCGAAGTCTGGGGTAGAGGGCTCCGAGAACGACCCACTCTCGGTCTGATGCCACCACAGAGACGCTAGGCCAATCGTCGCCACATGACGCCATCCATTCATCCCACGAGTGTCCTTACACGTCTGTAGTCAACCCATACGTGGGCGTGTGATGAAGTCTGCCCACTGATGAACTCCTGCAGCCACCACATCTCGGCAGGGTCACTCAACGTCACCTGCACGCGAAGGATGCATGGAAGGCTCGTCGAATGAATGGCGATTTCTTGGCTTGCCTACCAGGTGGTCATATTCTCCGGAGGCCCCTGCCACATTGCAGGCTATCTTTGCACTGTTGAAGCTCTTCTGCGGCGACGTGAAGAGCTTGTAACAGCTGCAGGAGCCCTCCCGATGACGAAAACCATTCGGGCAAATGCCAGTGTGGGGCGTTGCCGTGGCCGCAAACACTCCACAGCGGAAGCTTGCAGTGCAAAAGAACAACACGAGGTGAGGCTGGGAGGGAGGGGAGCGGGTCTGTGATGGATGGATGGATGGCACTTGCCGTAGATAAGATACTGGCCGATGATGAGCATCGACACGCTGAAGGCCCAGAGAACGCCCTCCAACGTCAGGAGGTCCATGATGGCCCGCCAACTCTGCTAAAGATTCCAAGAGGGGGGGTGAGGGCGGAGCGTCGATGAAGGGAAACCCGTACATAGGGTATGGATGGTCATTCCACACCTACGGACAGGCAGCAGCTTCGTTTTTGGTTCCATCCGACTCTTCGCATCGCTCACAATGCTGACGGTGGCTGGTATGCCTCACAGCCCAGCAACTGACCCATCGAAGGGGCTTCCACGGCCACAAATGTTGTTCATCTCGCCCCTCTCGTCGCTGCGCTGCAATCTGCTGCCCCAGATCAGGCCGCACAAGAAACGACGAGCGGCTGCAGCTCTTGCCAATGAAGGCGGCGCGTCAGGTGATGATGCAGCGATGGGAGAGGACGGACAAGAAGATCTTGCTCTGCAACTCAGATCCGAAGTTGCCAAGAGAGGCCTGGACCCAGGTAGCACAACCAGTGAGGGACAGAAGAAACCATGTCTGCCATCATGATGTCTGCGGTGTCTGTCTGTGTCGTTGGATCAGTTGGAGCGGTGGGCGAGAGAGGACCGGCCGAGTTCACCTCGCCCCGTCGGCTCGTCGAGTACGTCATGCGGGCGCTCAGAGACCGACGTGACGCGGCCGACGATGCCGGCGTCAGGGAGGCTTTTCGATTCACCGCCAACCACGCGGGCCGCCAGACGCTCCATGGGCAGCCGTCGAGCGATGAACGAATGGATTGGACGCAGACGAGGATACTGGGAGGTGAGCATCGACCGTCGTGTGCGTGTGTGTGTGTGTGTGCATTCTTGATTCGACTCATTTGGTGTCTGTCTGTGTGTGTGTCATGTGTCTGTCCAGGTCTGCCTGTGGGTCCCACGCTGACCTACGGGGCCTTCCGGCAAATGATCGAGACGCTTTATCCCTTCCTGATGGACTTCACCCGATACGAGGTCGGTCACGTCACATCGATGGATGCCCCCCAAGCACCAGACCTTTCTGTCCATGGTCCCTCTGCAGATTATGGATCGGTCGACTTTGCTGTCCCCATCGAATGAGAGCGATGACGTGATGGTCTTCTTGGTCAAGGTCTGGGGCAGCCGGGCGGCGGCAGACGAGCAGACTGGGCGGCCGGGGGATGGGCGGGATGAGAGGAGCAGGACGGTAGCTATGCGGCTGGTCTACAACTGGGCCAGGTGGTGTTATCTCATTTATCGCGTCGACGTCCTGGGCTAGGGGCGGGCTGTTCGGCTGTTTTATGTGACACTGTGTGTGTGTGTGTGTACAGTAGGACAGGACAGAACAGCCAGCTGCGTAGATGGGCTGCAGACAGGAGCTGTTTGGTCGTTGTCTTCAAAGGCCTTGGAGACGACCATGGCGATGTCGGCATCGTCATGCCCATCTTCATGTTGGATGTGCGTGTTGCTGCTGCTGGATACCTGAGGTGGTGTGAATGAGCGGACGAGGACATGCTGCATGGATGAACGAACGAACGAACGGTGCGTGTATCCATATACGTATACGTATACATATACATCATTCCTTCACAGTTTTGGTCGGTCCGTCGGTCGCTTTTGCAAAATTGTGTCTGTCTGGTCTGCCTCGCTAAGTGTCGCATCGCTCGTCCACGCCCGTCAGCAGCCAAACACACGTACGGCAATGCAATACCCATGCATCGACTCAATTCATCAAAGCACTGAGCCATCCATCCATCCATTTATCCATGGAAACACCCACACACCACTCACTACACATAGGCAACACAGGCTGCCATTGCAAATGGATACGCAAACACAAAAGGGAGACGGCACGGAGGGTCTCTGTGTGTGAGTGTGTGTGGGGTGTGCTGGGTTCCATCCATCCATCCATCCACTTATCCTATCTCTGTCTGCCCGCCCGGCGGTGTGTACGTGGCTTACCTGCCTGCTGCCTGCCTGCATTGCACTGCTTTCTCTGATGCACAGCCCGTTGGCTTGGCCACACAGTCGGCGCTCTACCTTGCTTATATGGACGGTTCATGGTGGGTGGATGGATGGATGCACGCTCAGGTGACACTTGAGCGGTCTGATGGCTTCAATTCACCGTGGGAAGGGTGTGGGTGGCTTCAATGACAATTTCCGATGCTTAGACGTCCCAGTCAGTGCGTTCGTTCGTTTGCCTTGTTTGATCCGATCCTCACGCACACAAATATGGACAGAGCACACACACTGCTGTGTCTCTATACGAGAGAATGCGTGCACACATAAGATGTCAGGTCTCCGGTATCTACAGAGACGACGCAAGTAAGCAATTGACATACACTGTCAGGCGGCTTATGTGCATGCATGACGAAGAAACACACTATCTACAAAGGAAGACATAGGCGACGAGTGGGGCCCCCGATGGACGAGCGTGTGCGCGAACAAATGAATGGGTCGCAATCTAACCACCTACCTGGCTGCACAAACCTACGAAGAAATGTCAAGTCTCCGATACATACAAACGCATCTGCGACAACAAATGGGCTAGACAGACAGACAGACATTATATGCGATGGATCTATCGACCTATCTGTCTACCTACCCGTGAAGCCAAACCACCGCGCATGAATGACATATGCCGTGAAGGGAAAATTTCTCACTGCATTACATCCCATCACAGGCATGCATGCATGAGCGGGAACATGCAGCGCCTCCATCCGTGTAGGCAACATCGGATCAGAGCAGAGGTGAGCAGACCATCTTCCGCCAATCTCATCAAGGCATTAAGGCCGTAACCACCAAAATTGACAGCCAGCCAGACATAGGGAGGTGTCTCTCTGGCAGACAGAGCCCCCCGCTCACCAAAGTATATACGTGCGATGACAATCGTTCGTCCCCCTTTCGCTCCCCACACAGACAAACACGTGTGCTGCAATCAGTCAGTCAGTCAGTCCGTCAGCCGCAGCACAGACACGACAGCACAGGACAGCACAGCAGCCAGCCACACACAAAGGGTCTCGTCTCTCGCTGACAGAGAAGGCAAGTACAGATGTCAGTCAATGCATGGGGGCTCAGTATATATACGAGACAAAAGCAAGGAAAAACTTGGCCTGTCTGGACATCTGGACATCGCCCCTCTCACACGCACACTGGCTGCCCACCGGCTGCCCGTCCCCCCGCCCGCCCGCCCATATGCGTCCATCACTCACTCATATGCATCACTCCGGCTGCTGCTCTGAGATGATGAATTTCACCTCGTCCGAATTTCTGCCGGTCATCTTGGCAGCCTCGTTGAATCGGCATCGGCCGCGGCGGACGACCTCCTTGTTGTGCACCGCCCGCAGCCACCAGTAGCCGTTGCGGTACTCGACCATGCCGGAGCCGGATGATCCGAAGGTATTCGTGTCGAAATTGTGTCTCGCGCTCCGCCGGCATCGGAAGTCGAAGTCATCTGTTGGTACGAGCACACAGTTAATTGAGAAAGGCACGCATTAATGATCAAGTGTGCCTGCCTGCCCACCTACCTCGATTCTCGTAATAGACTCGGAGGCGGTCTCGGCCGAAGGGGAGCTGCGGGTAGGAGAGCATCCACACGTTGATCTCGCTCCTTCTGCCCCGCGTGCAGGCGCTTCCAATCGGCACATAGCCGGTCCTGAAGCCGATGGAATTCTGGAAGGTCATGACAGCCCAATCGTTGCTGCTCCGCCGCCTGCGATTGCTGAGCCATCTGGCGTTAATCGTAATGAAGACGACGACAACGCAGCCGTACGGACGCCTGAAGCGGCCGCTCTGCCCGGGGCAGAACCTCGCTCTCTGCATCAATCAGCACGTCCATACCAGCAGACAAGCAAAGACCAGACAAGCAGCGCTCCATTCGGATGGATGGTCGGTGGTCCGTCTTCTCTGTCTTACTGACTGACTGAATTACTTACCCAGTCCACCTCCACGTTGCCGCCACCCCGCCTGCGGTTGGTGAAGCAGCTGGCGGCGGTCATGCCTGTAATAAAGCTGCCCGCAACTAGGCCGGTGCAGCGCCTGCGACCGTTCGGCGTAGAAATGGCCAAGTAGCCCCAGGTGCTCCAGGGATAGTCCGTCTGCACCGATCCGATGGTGCGGCTTTCGGGGCCCACCACACACTTCGGCTCTCGAGCGTCGGTCGTCATGTTGCTGGCACCTTGAGAGAAGTCACTGTCGGGGGCGCTCTTGGGCCTCACCGCCCAGTTGGTCGGCAGCGACGCATTGCCCTCACGGATGCCTGGGAAGCAAACAAGGCAGGGAGTCACCAGAGAGAATACCTCAAGCAATCAAGGTATATGGATGCGGGCGGCCTGCCTGCCTGCTGACCCACCTTGGTCTTCGTCGTGCAGTCCCTTGTCCATGAGCCTCTGGCGCACCTCCTCGTCGGTGCTGGCCAGCAAACGAGCGTAGGTGTCACCCCCCGGCACAATCCTCACGCTCCGATACTTGCGAGGCTCCGGCTCCTCGTTCTTCTCGTCATCACCCTCGTCAGCCAGGTCTTGCGGCTCCGTCCCCCCGGTGATGCGCCCGACGAACACGTAGCCGTCAGAGCGGAAGCGATGGACGACCGCCGGCGTCAGCTGCCGGTCTTTGGCCTTGGACTTGCGGATGTCAGCGAGGCTGGCGAAGGAGAAGTCCTCCGACAGCTTGAAGGCCCCATTGTCGATGTCCTCACAGCTGCCCCGGTGGCGGATATGCTGCTGCTGGCACAGCGCGAGGCAGGGCGAGGCGAAGGTGATGCCGTCGATGACCTCATCCATGTGGCTCGTCGCACACACGGGCGACTCAGAAGCGACGAACCACTTGGGTGATCTCTTGGGGGCGGAGGTGTCGTGGAGGTGGCGGCTGGTGAAGGTCGAGCAGTCGCACAAGGAGGACACGTCAGGCTGCTTCGACTCGCTGGGCGGCGGCTGGCCTTTACCAGTGCCAGCGGCGGCCGCAGAAGTGGCGGCCGAGGCCTCGGGCAGCAAGGCTGGCACGACACATGACATCCAGCCAGACAGGCAGCAAGCATATGCACATATGTGGGTGTGCAGCGCCTAGCTGTGGCGTGTTGTTGTGTGTGTGTCCACCTGAGGAGGCGAGGAGCACCAAAGCGAGACAAGGCGACAATCTTCCCATCATGATGGCAGCGAAAGGGACGGAGGGGAGGCGGGAGAGCAATTGCGGGAGAGGACGAAGCGAGGAGGCGCCACTTCGCTCCGCTGTTCTCCAACGGTGAGAGGCGGTTGCAACCGCAGCTTGAAGCCGGTTGCAACCGCAAAGCCGTTGGCAACGGCAGACTTCGGTCGACAGAAGCTTCAAAGGCTTGCTTCGTTCTCAAAAGGCCTTCTTCCTGCTTCTCCCTCCTTCACAGTTCTTGTGCTTTCTTCTCGAGCTCCTCCCCTTTCCCCTCGCCCTTCTGTCGTGACAATGATGCGCCTCGGCATTGTTCCCGCCTCCACCATTGTCGCTCTCGCCATTGTGCTCTGCGGTGCCGGTGCGGCGGCTGCACGTGGCGAAGGTACGGTGGCAGCATGATTCGGAGGGAAGATTGAACGAATGATATCGGATGTGTTCTGTTGTGTTGTGTAATGGCTCTTTGGCAGGACGGAAGCAGGCCGCGTGCCCGACGACGGCCCCCCCCACCATCACCACCAACTACTGCAACGTCACCACAGAGGAAGTCATCCCGTGAGTCAATTGCAAGCAGCACACTGCACGGTCTCATGTGTCTTGTGCTTCTGTCCCTTTGATCGCATGGCACGCAGGACGTACCTGACTGCTCCCGACGAGGCAAATGTGACCACCATACTGACTGAAATCGTGCTGGGTGACCTGCCTGAGAACACTACCAAGTTTGTCTACCTCACGGTAGGCTCAAACACAGTCTCTACCTGCGGTTGTGTCTACATCTGTATTGTTTGTCTACTGCCAGGCCTCGAGCGACACCCAGTCCCTGCAGCTCGTCTGCCTGGCAGGCGCGCCGCTAGACACGGTAGGGACCTACTTACCTGTATGGATTGACTTACAAACAAGGCAATGGGCGGGCGGGCTGTCAAAGGCAATGGGCGGGCGGGCTGTCTGGTTCGGTTCCTGCGTGGGTGCAGAATATTACCTACGAGGTGACGTATACGGTCGGCGGAGTGGATGTCGGCCCGTGCCAGGTGACCGTCAGCTGCACCACCATCGAAGGCCCCATCGACGCCCCTTCGGAGGACATCGACGCTCCTGAGACCGCTGGGGGGACCGCTGGACGTGTCAAGTGCCTCGGCGGCCACTTGGGCAGCGGCTCGCCAAAGCTCATCACGTAAGGCGCGGAAGAAAGGAAGAAACCCAGCCAGAAGGCGTGCGTGCAAAGTGGTCGATGAGTCCGTGGTTCGCCTCATTCACATGTGTGCAGCGAGTTCGCGCGTGTGGCTGGCGGTGGGCGTGGCTGGCGTGCGTCGTACGTGGGGGTCCCGACTGACTTTGCGATGCTGCACGGCCCCAAGGGAGGGAACAAGGGCGTGGCCATCAAGGACGACCTCAACTCGCAGACCGTCAAGCTGGTGCGCGACCATGTGGGACAGGCCCAGAAGCAGGTGACAAAGAGAGAAAGGAAACGACATCATTGAAGACCATAGTCATTTGGTGGTGTGGATTTGCTTTGTTGCAGGAGACCATCGTGCCGGTGTTGTTCAAGTTCCGAAACGGAGGCCAGGTGGTCAGCAAGACCTGCCCCGTGCACGTGACTGGCAACTAAGGGAGCGGACGACACGCGAGGGGCCCGCCATCGATCGATGAGAGCGGGGCCTGGCGGGGATGGGTGGCTTATCGTCCCTGCGGGGAGAAGTTTGTTGAGAGTGTGGGTAGCCCAGGCTGGCAGCATGGTCAATATTCGCATTCATGTCTGCCTATGTGATGCGATGCGATGCATGTCAATGTCATGCACGGACGAATTTTCTTTCCGTCCAGGCATGTCATGTGCATGGCCGTCCTTCCTGGTTGTTCTTTATCTCATGTGTGCGCTTTCTTCTTTCATCCCTATTCATTGGGTGCTACTGTGTCGATAGGCAGGTAGGCGGGCCAGCTTGTTTATCGGTGTAGACGGTATACGTAGTGCATTTGCCCACGGTTGTCTGTCTGTCTAGCCTATTTGTCTCGATTGCGATGTCGGAGACATACTGATTTTTCTCACCATTCTATACGACGCGCACATAGATGCGTAGCACTTTATGGTCTCTCCTTCATTGCCGATATAGTTGACTCCTTGGCTCGTTTGCCTATTCATTTGTATGCATAACGACGACATTTTGAGGGTGCGTACGTGCTCTTATCGTGTCATGGGCTTTGTGGCGTACAGTACAGCGACAGTGAATGCTCTCTTGCACATGTGTAGCTGACGAAGAAATGGAGACACGTACATGGATAGCGTGTGCTGTCTGTCTGTCTGTCTGTCTGTGCCGACCTCTCTGCTCGCACTAGCCATGCAGTCACTAAGGAGAGAAGGATAGACAGACAGAAGGATGGAAAAGACAGCCATCCAATGCAATGCGTCCACTCGTTGCGTGACAGCTGCTTGTATATGATCGAACATACATATGTGACGTCGACTTGTGCCATTTATGTATCTGTGTAACTAAGGCATGTAACGAGCCACTCTGACAGTGTGTGACAAAGAAACACTTCGCTCAATCAGATTCTAGCGGCATTCGCCCTCACTCTTCATAAGTCTCACTCAACATAGGGACTGTGTGTGTGAGTCTCCTGGCCACACACAACACACGATCACAATTGGAAGCATTGTCTGAGACGGGTCCCACGCGAGACGGGCCCTCATTCCGAAATGGGATGCCTGTCCCTTTCAGAACGAAATGGGTGTGTTTGTGTTTCAAGGGGTGCCCGCATGATCGATGGCCGGCCTGATGTGATGCTCTGGCGGGCAATGCCACAGTTGATCTGTCAGTCTGTGATATCCCACGTCTCGGCAACTTGCTTCAAAGAAAGACGCTCACACGTTTCTTGCTATCTCTCTGCGTGTGTGTGTGTGTGTGTGTGTGTGGGCATGGATGGATGGATGTGAGACGGCGGTGACTCGTCTGTTTCGTGTTTGTAATGCCCTCAACTTTGATTCGCAATCTCCCACCCCCCAGCCGACTCCAACCGGCAGCTCTCACGCAGCAGTGCACCAGCCAGGCGCAACCTCACCTTGGAAGTGGTCCTTCATCGAAGTCGCGTCACTCACGAGTGTCTCTTATGTGTCTCTGTTGTTGGTCTTGCATAACTAGCTAGTGTACACCTCTCTGTCTGTTTGTCTTGTCGGTTAGTCTGTCCGTCCACTCACACACATCCCACCCAGGCCACACACACCATCCCTCCCCCTCCCAGCACCCACTAGTTATCCCATCACTGCCCCTCTACATCCTCAAGCTCAGTCAAAGAGCGGCCAAAGGTCAGACAGAGCGGCAATGGGGCAACTAGCTAGTGCTGGCAGAGGTGGTGTGGTGTGGTGTGGTGTGCGGGTGAATTGCACAATGCACTGCACAGCCAGCCAAACGGAGACGCATCACGATGGCCAGAGAAAGCGGTCGATGTGTACATCCAGCAACACAGCCCACCGTACAAGCAGCCAGCCGATCCATCCATCCATACACAGCCCGCCTCACAAGAACACTGGCATCACGATACACACAGACAAACACGCACACACACGCACACACACGCATGCACCGCACCCCCTCCGCACTGCAGCGTCACGCTGTATCATTTGCATTTGCGTTTTCGCAGGCGGTACCACCCGCGCCCCGCAGTGTCATCCTTGGTGAGCTCTTTGGACCAGTAGCCGCTGCCGCCAAAGGATGACTTCAGCATGGCCGCCTCGTCGCGGCGCCTCCTCCTTGTCTTGTGCTGGTGCGGTGGCTCCACCTCCATACGATCGCCAGCACCACCCCCGTCATGCTCTTCCTGCTTCACCTCCCCATTCTCATCCTCCATCTTGACATCATGATCTTGTTCTTGCTCTTGCTTCGCATCCACCATGTGGTCGCCCTTCTCATGCTCATTGTCGGCTGAATGAATCAAGAGCACAGCGAGTGCAGGGGAGTGCATCACTTTGGTATGGAGGGAGGCACACCTGCTGATTTGCGGCTCTTCTTTGGTGGGCGCTCTTCTTCGACCAGCTCGGCTCCTGCCCTCTTGGTTTTGCTTCTCGCCTTGTCAGGCTTGGGTCTGTCATCCCTCACGCCGAGCGGAGGGGCGATGGGTGGGGGCGAAGTGGGTGGTGGCGGCATCAGGCCAGGTGGCGCCCACCCCTTGACTCTGCGATATCGTCGCGGCCCTTCCTCCTCATCGTCGTCAGCGGTCGGGGAATGGTTGGACGGCCGATCCCGCGCAAGCAGCAAGGCACCCTGATCGACCGACACAAACACAACAACACAGAGATGGAATATACCTACAGCTGTCCTGTGTTTGTCTTTTCTTCCTCAATGCCTCCATACCCTGTCGCCTGGGTTCTTGACCCTGCGATACCTCGACGGGCCACTCTCCTCGTCCATGTCGTCTGACAGCTGTGGATGCGCAGCAGGGGCGGCGGGGCACGGCGAGAGAAGAGACGGTCCGCGCTCGGCGGCGGAGTAGGCGTCCTTCAGCGTCACGCCGAGCGGAGGGGCGATGGGTGGGGGCGAAGTGGGTGGTGGCGGCATCAGGCCAGGTGGCGCCCACCCCTTGACTCTGCGATATCGTCGCGGCCCTTCCTCCTCATCGTTGTCAGCAGTCGGGGGATGGTTGGACGGCCGATCCCGCGCAAGCAGCAAGGCACCCTGATCGACCGACACAAACACAACCACACAGAGATGGAATATACCTACAGCTGTCCTGTGTTTGTCTTTTCTTCCTCAATGCCTCCATACCCTGTCGCCTGGGTTCTTGACCCTGCGATACCTCGACGGGCCACTCTCCTCGTCCATGTCGTCTGACAGCTGTGGATGCGCAGCAGGGGCGGCGGGGCACGGCGAGAGAGGGGACGGTCCGCGCTCGGCAGCGGAGTAGGCGTCCTTCAGCGTCTGAAGGGCCGGGTCCTTCATGTATGGGTGCTGCAGCAGCTCGGCTATGGAAGGGCGGTGTGGGGCGTAGCTGATCATCCTGACAGCCATTTGTTGCCACAAAATAAATGACACACACCAGTCAGTGCCTTTCCATGCAGCTTTTAATTCACCTCACCTTGCGCACAGGTCAATGGCGTCCTCCGCCATGGTGCCGTGGGCCTCGGCGCGTATCTTCTCCTTGGTCCGCTCCAAAGAGAATTTCTCGGTATTGCTGGCCCACACCGCCGGCATGTTGGCCATGTCTCCCTCTCCCGGGCAGCCCAGGAAGTCAGTGTATATCTCTGTGTAGTACTTGAACACCTCCTCCTCACTCATGTTGCCCTCGACATAAGTGCAGGGCACCCTGAACAGCCGTCGGCACAAGTGCAGCTCCAAAAGCAGCACCCCGGCCTGGAACACGTCGTGCTGACTGGGGTGGATGAGCGGCAGGCCACTTAGGTCTAACGGAAGACAACGCACACATACAAACGAACAGAGTGCATGTCTGTATTTCGTGTATCTGCCTGTTGTGGGAGAGTGGTGCCGTGTGTTACCTGCATCCTCATTGATGTGGAGCAGCCTTTGAATCAGCACCGCCTCCGGTGTCCAATATCCTGACACACAGACACACACACAGACACACACACAGACACACACACAGACACACAGACACACAAGATTCAGATCGCGTCGCTGCGCCTGCCTGCCTGCCTGCCTGCCTGCCTGCCAAGGTCTCCTCACCCACCCGGAGTGCCAAAGACCAGCTCCTTCAACTCCTTCCGCCAGTCCTTGCCCGAGGGCGGGGGGTGACTGGCCAGCCCGAAATCGAGGAGCTTCAGCGCACCTGGCCCTGTCGCCACTCTTTTGGCGTCCATCATGATATTCCTTGGCTGGAGATCACGATGGGCGGCCGCCTGCTCATGAAGGGCGAGCAGAGCCTTGAGCAGCTGGTATGTCGCCGCCTTGAGCTGCAGGTTGGTGAGGGTGAGAGTGAGGAGGGATGACCCTTCACCCATGAAGGCACCCAACGTCTCGTACGGCTTCCTGAGGAACTCCAAGATCATGTACATATCTCCAAAGCTCATTGCGGCTGGGTCGGCTGGCATGCGATGGCCGTAGTATTGCACCATATTCGGGTGCCAGAAGGAGGGAAAGTCGCCTTCCGGATGCCCGGATGCCCAGCTGCCGTGGCGATGGCCTTCGCCCGCTGCACCATGAGCTCGAAGAATGCGATTTCGTTACACTTTCCCTCGGCCGGTGCTCCGTCTTCCTCCTCGTCGTGCGGCTGGTCCTCGCCCTTCGGTGCTGAGCAGACCTTGACAGCCCGATTGGCGTACTCGGCGGCCTTGTGCAGAACCCAGAACACCTGGGCGAAGCCACCCTTGCCGAGAGGGTTGTTCCAGACGAAGGCGAACTCGCCCGACACGAAGGCGTGGCCGTCCCGAGGCTCATCGGCCGATGTGGTCATCTTGTTTGGGGGTGGAACAGAGGCGGGAGGGGGGAATAGCACGGTCAGAAACGAAAATCAAGTGCGGGCTCGGTCCAGTCTCGCCCCAGTCTCACGTCTCGGCGATGGGGGCACTCGTCGCTGGCATTGCAAATGGCTGTGACTCTATCACTGTGACAGCTACTGGACCTGGCAGCCGAGGTCACGTAATGTTGTTGCGCTCGTTTCAAGGATCGAGAAGCAGCTCGCACTCTAAGCTCGCCCGTCGAGAACGAGACGGCGAGAAAAAAGACAAAAAGGACAAGCACTACAAGCGGTACATTGCCAGAAGACTGACCGAGGGGGGTGGGAAACTGTGTTCTGTGCGGAAAACCGGGGCCCCATGCGGAAAACTGAGCCAGGGGCCCGGAAAACTGGTGATCTGCAGTGGAAAACTGACCACCTGCTTGAAAAACTGGCACTCCCACGTGGAAAACTGAGGCCCTGAGTGGAAAACTGGCCACCTGCACTGGAAAACTGGTGATCTGCAGTGGAAAACTGTGTTGAGTTGGCGAGCTTTGTGTGCGTTGTTTTGTGTGACCGTTGCCCAACGCTCTGCGATGCTGCCTGGCTTTTCTTTGCTGTTCTTCCTCTCGCCCCTCGCTGCCTCTGCTTGCGCAGTTCT